ACGCTACACATTAAAACTGATGATGGTGGAAAACACCGAAACGTTTTTTTAAATTGATAAATGAACAATAAATGACTGAAGAACCCAGGATTTGATTTTAATTTTGGAATTGAAACACAGTCAGGAAAGTACGTAAAATTAGACGTGCTTCTTTGCAGGTGCTGGAAAGTGCTTTAAGGTGCAAGAGTCGTCTACTAAAATAGACAGACAGAGAATATTAAATTTTCCCAGCATGTTGACCAACGGCCGGTTATTACTGAAGCTCTAGCGTAATTAGAGTCGACCGATAGTCCGCAATTAATCAATGGCGAATAAATAATAATTCATTCCGGTAGCTCGAGAAGCAGTTTTTAGCCGTAAGTAAAGAGCGGCCGATCGGGCATTAAGATGGTACCGTGTAATTTTGTTTAGCACGATTTTCAATGATTGCGTACCGTGGTAGTACCGGGTATCGGCCAGGATTTATTTCAATGACCAGACCGGTCCAAACTGTTTCAGGACGGGTATCAGCAGAAGTTTGAAAACTCTGATTTTGGCTTCAAAAAAATCAATTTTCTAGGGTTTTTCAAGAATCTCAGTCCTGAAGCTGTTCTGCATAGAGGAGCGAAATCTGGCATGGACTTCTGAGGTTGCGTGCCGCTTATATCAGGGCCAAAAGGCCCGGAAAAACACTTTTAGAGCTTTTTAACACAAGTTTTGGCACTAGTAAAAGCAAACTCATGAAAAAAATTGTTAAGTACAATAAATCCGTTCCTGCGCGGTAATTGAGGCCTTGGTGTATACTGGGTGTAATTAATATCGCCTGGACTTTAATGAAAGATCTCCCGTTCACATCGGCAGCTTTGGCTCAATAATTTCGCCCAATTAATTATTTAATGAGCGTGAATAACTCTGTTTGATTATTTGCTGCATAATTCACTTTCGTGTGAGCTGTTTCAAGCCATATTATTTACTGTAAGGATTTTATTTGCCCGTAAGTAATGTGCCGAGCTCGCGATTAGCGGTTTTTCTACATTTTAGTCTAGTTTTGTACACTACAGAGTTTTTTTTATTTGTTTTGGCACGATTGTGCATTCAAATCGACCGAATTTTCAACGAGTTTTAGCACTTTACTCTACGGAATATTCTATGTTCTAAAAGAAACCGATTGTCCACCTTCAACGGATAAAAAAGCCGATTATTTTTTCCGCAAAAAAATAGAATATATATGTGTTTTGCGACTTATAGTTGAAACCTCCTGTACCGAGTTATACAAACAATATCATTCCAAAAGTATCTGAGTCCCAAAACTTCTTTTTTCATAAGTTACACCCATGTGTTCAAAACTGTACTTTTCGCCGAAGACCTCGTACGGTTGTAACTACCTGAATTTGTATCACGACCTCGTAGATTTGACATCTTAAGAACTGTTTGGCCTTCAAAACAGAGTTGATGAGAAATTCCGCTGCGAAATAGAGACGATTTTGAGAAATTTCTTGTGCAAATTAGTTTGATCGGCCATTCGTTTTCCAATGTCCAGTCATGTTGGCAAAGTTTCACCAAGGAAATATAGATATGGCAGTAGAGCGCTAAAACGCGGAGAATAAAGAGCAGAGGTGACATTATTGAGTCGTTTCAAGGGATTTAACTGTTTAAGGCCGAAAGTTAAAAAAACGACCTTAGTAACAACAATAGGCATTATTCGTCAAGTTTTAAAATATGTTTCTGACAAATTCCAACCACCACTGCTGAACACTTCCAATAAACCAACTCGAATAAATATCTTTCTCGTCCTTCTTAAAGAAAGTAATAGTTTTTTACTTATTAGAGCTACTGTTATATCATTAAAAATGGAATTTATGATCACCAGAGAATGAGCTACCTTGCTCATTTTGCTTCCGAGAAATGAGCAAAAACCGTACAGAAAACATGAAATTTTGGCGTCATCTTGCAGTGAAGTGCCTGATATTCAAATTTCGCTTTCTGGGTTAAAACTTCGCGAAGTTCCTCACTGAAGTTGTCAGGACTGAATCTAATGCTCAATTAGATCCAACAATGCCAAAACGTGAAAAAATCTGTGGCTCAAATAGTTCTTTTTGCTCAAAATGTTCTATTAGGAACTTCGAAAAAAGCGCATCATGTTCGCGTCGATATTGCAAGTCAAAAAACACGTAAATCTAAAACCGCACTTTTTGGGAAAACTGCCAACATTTCCTTATCGGTGGCGCACTCTCTACAAAGGCCATTTAGTTCTCTCTGGAAGGATGTAAAAATGAGCGTTTTTGCTCATTTTGCTGCCACAAACACTAATAATGTCGATTAATAAGCCATTTTACGTAGGCAACGAGAAGGGAAAACATCTGGGGTCGATCACAATTTAAGAAATGTTTTATTTCATGTGACTCATGCTTAAATAAATACCAATACAAGCTGCATAGTCGCGCTCATCACTAAGACTGATACTCGCAAAAGCATTAATCGATTAAGTGATTACGTCCTGATTTAAAAGTTTTGATATAAACACTTACTGGTAATTCTCGAATATTAGAGAAAACTGGGGAAAGATGGATTTCCGCTGCGCATAGCAAACCAGACAGAAGTCTGATCAGCGGCCCAAAAAGCATGCTGATTCAGTACCATTTGAGCCGCAATTTTGAACAATCGCTAGAATCAGCCCAGTCCATCCATGCTGTAGGAGCCTTGCTGTAGACCAGTCATGGTGCAGGTAGGAGCAATGGTTGGATAGGAGTGATATGTAGGTGCTGCGTAACATGCGTTTTGCGGACCAATCGGAAGAGCCGTGGATATTGTGGAGTTGGAGAGATTTGGATGCGAGCTATTTGGTGTTTGGTATTGAATGTCGTACATTGGAAACTGTGGATTGGAAAGTGGAGAGTTTGACCATTGCCATTGCATCATGGCAGTTTTGCTCGGTGTGGAAGCAACACTGGAATTACAGAAGAATATCAGCTTCGTACCAGTTTCGAAGGAGTTTCACTTACGGCAAATAGTCATTATGACCCGCCGCCCATAGATTGGAGTATTTATTTTGGAAGTTGACATTTGGAGCTCCACATTGGGCTGGGAGAGTCTGCTGGTTCCATTGCTTGCGAAACCTGGCTCGCCGATTAGAGAACCAAACTTGCACCCTGGAAGGAGATTTTGCATTCGCGGACACTCCAGTTGGTGTTTGCAGTTACCTGGCTTCGGTCAAGCGAGTTTTCCCGGCTAACTCGTCCCTTTTGTAGACATCAGGGTACTGATTCTTAGCAAAAACCGCTTCGAGCGACTCCAGCTGACCGGGTGTAAACACTGTGCGTGTTCGTCGCTTCTTCAGCGGAAGATCACAGCATGGTCCAAGATGACCATCTTGGTCCGACTCAGATGTACCTGAATCAGATGTTAGAGGTTGCATATGGGCGAAATTTTCGTCGTCGATTCGGGGGCAAAGTTGCGCACTTTGATGCTTAACAAAATAGTCAAAGAAATCCGAAGTTTGCGCGAATTCTTTAATATTTTTCCGAACCTCTGAGGAGATATTTAAAATAGTTGCTCGTCTAAGGAAACCCGGCGGTTGGCTACTAAAAGGCTCGAAACAACAAATTAACATAAAAACAGTACTTTAACAGATTACGCGCTGAATTAATTTGTGTTTGTCTATTCATTACCAGTTAAAGCTAATAGCAGATCATTAGTTACAAATACATAACGCATTAGAAAACGCGCGGAAGCGTACACATTTAGTTTAATAAATTACGCATCATAAAAAAATGTAAATTAATTTCAAGGGGGCATTATAAAGGTTTAAACTTGATTTATTCCACGCTTTGAAGATGCGGCTCCAATCGAATGGTAATGACGATTAATTTACTTAAACTGAGCTGTGTTTTCTCGTGTATTATATTCCTAGATTTTTTCTCTAATAGAAACTTTATTGGAATTTGAGGATTATGCTAAACAGTCAATTATCATAATCCACTCGGTGCCGGCGGGTGCACAAAAAAAATCTAATCTTATTAGAGAATATTTTATTGCCAAAAAAACATAATGCTAAATTATTGGCATCTGCGTTGCAATAAATTTAAAAAAATTGAAACAATGTCGGCCAGCGCCTCCGCATCGCCCCGTTTTTGCCGAGTCCTGCCAACAGCGTAATTGAGCAGTAGAGGAGTATCGGTTGTTGCGGAGTCTATAGTTCATTGCGCGGCGAGTTCAACTTAAGAAAATAATAATATAGTATGTGCTAGCCATTCTTTCCATTTAGTTCTCTCTCAGCGATGTAACAATTAAGGCTGTAGCTTAATATGTCCCCGAGAAATGAGTAAAAACGTGGCGAAAAACATGAAATTTTGGCCTGATCTTATATCTGATATTCATATTTCGCTTTTTGTGGCAAAACTATCAGAATTTCCTCACGCACATTGCTATAACTGAGTCGAGGTTTGAATTCTTTGTCGAATGATAAAAAACGTGGAAAATGGCAGCGTCATGTTTGAGAGGATTTTTCAATGCAAAAAAACGCACAAAAATTAACATTTCTTAACAGAAATTCAGACTTTTTTGAAAAAACTGCCAACATTAGCAGCAAAAACGTGATGGAACACATGAAATTTTGGCCTGATTTTGCACCTAAATGTCTGATATTCAAATCTCAATTACTGGAACCAGCTTATTAAAAGACACGCTGGAATCAGCAGTTTATAAAGCGCTTAGAGTGAGTTCCAGACGCCGGAAGTAATGCCTAAAATCCCTCAAAATTCAGCGGATTGTTGTTTTTTGGAAAAAGCTCGGTTGCGTCAATTTTCAATTGTAAATGCGATTTTTTATATCGACTTTATTTATACCAATTGGCCCAGAACGAAGTTACCACAATCAATTGATTTTTTCTAATGAAAGCATCAGCAAAAGCTCTAGTTAACTCTTCAGATTGCTGTATATCTGGAAGAACAAACTTTCTGATTTATAAGAATCCGCAAAGATTCGAGTAAATTTCAGACGATTCTAGGATTCAAATCGAGAATGAAAGTGGCAGCGGAAATCGGGCATGAAAAACCATCTATGGCAGCCACCAGTAGCTGTTAAAATTGATGATAATAAAAATCAATCACTGCACTAAAACGTGTTAATGATAAAATGATCCGTCATTATCTTCTGAATGTACCTCGAATTTGACTAGTCATTGTCGGCCTCTTGTGAGGTCCTGATTACCTTACCATTTCGAATTTTCTGTCGATTTTAACGCTGAATAGCTTTCGAGTTTTTACCAAATTTTGTACAGGTCGCACTCTGATGATGTCGGTTTTTACGGTAGTTGATTTATGTGAGGCATTTTTTCTTCGGTAAGCAAATATGCTCAGATCGAACGCTTAATGGGTTTTTCGGTTAAACAGCTTTTGGTTGCCGTTGAAATAAATAACTACGGTTTTCTAAGAAGTACTTTTGGCAAATTCCAATTTTTGTCCAGCCACCAATTTTTTGCCTGGACGAAACGAACGTTCACCGACCGTTGATCGTTGATGTCCTGAGGGGCGACTACATTATAATAATTTTTGGCAAATTGCTGCATTTCAATGACCCAGTTTTGCCCTAAAAAGGGCCTGAATTTCCGATCGCCGCTTGTATTATAATGCAATGACCTTTAGAATCGACCAATTTTTTTTTTAATATGCCTTTAGTGAGTTCCCTTGAATAATCAAAGGCATTCTTTTAAGAGAAAATGTGCCATGTAATTTTCCACGAATGTTGAATAGAAAAAATAATCGTCCTCTGGGGAGTGAGTGAGTTTTCACCGTCAAGGAAATTGAACAATGCAGATAATGGCAACATTTGCCTCTTAAGGAAGCTAATGATCAGAGGACAAACATTAACACCATACAGTAGTAAGTTCGAAGAGAAATCGCTCTGTCAAGGAGCAAAGCAACTAATGATTTTGTGACGGTTTCTGGGGAACCAGTCCCCGAAGGGACAATTAAAAGCGTATCGTGAGAAGAGAAGATTTTTTCCGATGCCGCATATAAAACAAATAAACCTAAAACGCCCTAATGGGCGGCGAAACAACTGTAAAAGTTTACCCTAAAAACTAAATTACTATTTGTCGTACGATTGTCATGGCCAAATTGATTGAATTTGTAATGCTTTGAGAAAAAATTCGAACTTATGGTCCAGTGGACAGAGGTTTCATCGGGGTTTTTTTTTTCACCGCTGAGCTCTACATAAAAACTTTTCGTCACTCATTGACTTGAATTTTGATTATATGGGGGTTGACTTGTTTTCAAGGTTCTTAAAGATTTGTCGGTTTTGAGACGGATACATCGAAAACYAGGGGGTTTTTAGGCCGTCGTACAATTGAATTTCTTACGCTTACATCGCGATCAAGCAAACCACCTCTGAAGATGCAAGCCACTCGTGCTTGCGAAACGTCAGGAATAAATTCAATTGTACGACGGCCTGAAAACCCGAAAAACCCACTAGTTTCAAGGAATGGACTCAAAAGGTTATCTCTTTGGAGACATTTAAGTTTTGGTCTTGATCTTAAAAGTCTTGTGAGCCGTTCTTTGAGATTAACTGAAATAAATTATTATGAATGATAAGTGAAAAAAGGGACTTACCAACACCTGTGTCAGGCGAATGCGTTTTTCCCTCCGCACCTTCTGGTTTGCCTTCTAGTAAGCCATACACATAACTAACGGATGACGATGAGTTCTCTTTGCATGTTCCATTCTGCAAACAAGAATATAATTGATTCGGCTTCTTGGCCATGCAAATTGGTAAAAAATGGCTGTTGCGGTGCTTGCAACAGATAGCGACAGAAGAAAAACACTATTGTTCTTGGGCCAACGTTTCAGCAATATTTTGGGCATCCTCCGGGAGTATGAATTTAGTGTCTTTCTGTCATGGACAGCACAGCATCTTTTACCAATTATTGAAACACCTGCTTTGGATTTTTGAAAGACTCTCAGTCACTCTGTGTGTGTAAGGATCTTCCAAATATTATTCAATACATACCTCCATTTTGGCCGTTGTCTTGCCCGATTTGGATCCACCAATTACTCCAGGTTGCAAGCTTCCAGTCTCTTGATATCTATTTAGGATCTTCGAGACGCATCCATGTGAAACACGAAGTGCTTTAGAAATTTTGCATGGTCTGACGCCCGTTTTAGCCAGTTGCAGGATCTTTGCACGTTTTTCCAGCGAAAGTGGCCGACCATTGACGAAAATGCCACCCAATTGATTAACCCTCTGTTGACCTGGAATAAAGACAGGCAGTATACCCACGCATCAAATTTCCTGAAGAACTTCTAGCCGGAGCAAAAAACCCTGATTTATTTGCGTGGAAGCGTTCACAAAGCAACCGAATGGACCACATTGTACCAAGCGGTCATAATGGCACGTTTAAGCAAAACATAAATTCGGGCAATGCGAGTGTGCCGCGAAGACCGACACCAAAACATCCGAGTATCGGCAGCGTGGAAGAACCAAGAAGAAAGAAGAAGAGATGTGAGAGGTGGGCGTGAGGACATTTAACGAAATGAAAAGTCGGCCTGGACGGGCGGCGACTTTGATCTCACTAATGTCTGTTTTCATCAGGGAACGTTGCATACTTGATTTCGGACCTTTTGGGGTCGGTCAGTGTGATTAGGTCAACGAGGCTCAAGCTTTGGAATGGTTGCCATTTAAATCAATTTTTTATGCAAAAATTTACAGCTTCTGCTGAGAAAATCTAGCGTTCTGTCGCTATGAAGTTGATAAAGTCTAGCTAACGCCTTTGGCTTTTGCCCAGTTTCCAAATTTCCTAAAAAATTATCAGCTCACTTAAATCTCTTGCAAGGTTCTGCAAAGGAGCAACAACAGTGTTTCACTCTAAACATTCTAACTCAGTTGGTGGTTTCTTTGAATAATTTGAAGAACCAGATGGGCAGGTTTCTGACAAAGACTTTGACTGTACAAATTTTGACTGAGTAGAATGATTTGTAATTAAAAACACTCGAACAAATCGCTGTCTTTTGCACTGATATGAAATCAATGTTCTGTCGAAATAACTCAGAACCAACTGGTTTCTCACGCTTCATCTTTCATTGTTACTGCAGGAAATTTTCAGCCGGTTCATGTAAATTCGCTAATTAACAAGACCAGCTTAGCCGCATAAACAGATGCACAAAGAAGTAGTAAAGGTGTAAATTCTTGGCTCAAATTAGCATAAAGTTATTGTATTACACGTTTTAATTGGCTGCCCATAAGTACCATTCGACGAAGCCATAATGGTTCAAGGTTGTTGGAGTTGCCGCAAAGCGAAACGACCAACCTTTTACCATTAAATCGCTTAAAAATAGACACAGTTTGGAATTATTTTATGGTTCTGGAAAGTGCGGCTTTAGAATACATGTGAGGTAAACAGTGGCTTGATATGAAACCCATTTAAAACACACAAAAAAACGGGGCGCTTCGGGTGATTTTTACATGTAGCTTTTGATTACCTGATGAACTTTACAAGTTTCAATTCAATATTACGTTGTAATGCTTTGGGAAATTATTTAATTCTCCCAGTCCCCAAGTCAACTAAGCAATACTAAGACCAACAACCTGATGACCGAAAAATTAGTAATCACTATAAAAACGAAATTACTGCATCAGCTGCTGCAACCAGTAATTTCACGGATTTTTTCTAAAGCGTTTTTTTCGTTATAGGAACATGCAATGTAAGATTTTAGCCAATTCGTCAGCATTCGTATTGCTGAAGACGGCATTGCGTTATACGCTTTTGGTTTTTCCTTTTATCTATGAATGGAAATTTATTTTAGCGTTTTATAACGTTGTAAGTTCGGAAAAATTTTACATACATTTTGCAAGAGGTGATTATTTCTGGGAACCCACAGTTTTATGCGTTTTAGCCGAAGACAAGGAAAAACAGTGGACAATTTTTATCATAACAATAAATAGAAGCTGACCTACTAACTTAAGTTTTTCGGACAGTGGTCGAAGAATTTGGCCTTAGCGTTTCCCTAGCATGCATGGCTGGCATCTTCAGAAGCGTCTCCACTGAAATGTAACAGCGTTCAATCAAAACACCCTGTATGTATTATTGTTTTATAATTGATAACCGGCAGGTTCAGTAAAACACATATCAGTAAAACGATAGAATCGATGTCTAGACTCTTTAGAGGTGATTTTTGTCAAAGATTGCCCCGCTCAAAACTAAAATATTTTAAGCTGTGAAGGTGCCAAGTTCGAACCTAACCGCTCTCTGTTCATCTGGCGTCTCTTACAGAATATTATAAGTGCGAGTGAAAGGTCCGATGCCAGCTACGTTCTTGAATGGATAATTCAGTTTCATTTAATTGATCTGAAGCAGAGTCTGAAGCAACCAAAATGAATACACCGTTGAGGATAGTAGCAATGAGTGGTAGAGGAACGTCGTTCTCTCTAAAACGTGAGATTCTCTTGAATTTAACACATCAGAAGTTTCTCAATAAAAAAAATGCGAATGAGACATTTCGTGTTTTTATTTCACTTTGTTTCTCAGCTTGGGTTTTCGTTCCTCCTTAAGACTCACCGGTTTAATACGTTTTCAAAGAAGTCACATACAAAGTCGTCCCGAAAGACATCTAATAACCCATCAAAGCCGATTCGTTTAAAGAATCTGGCCAACAAATCCTCATTAAAACTGATCCCATGTTTTATAATACTGGGACGTTTTTAAAAGGAAGAAAACGATTGAGGCCTTAAGGCGGACAGCTCGAGTATTGCCGAATACAATGTGAATATTTTTTCGGAACAGCTTTGGCTGCGACTTTCGTTTTTATTATAATGAGTTAATAAAATGTGGTATGCGCGACACCAGAACTTTTGAAGACTTTTGGTGTATGGACGAGTTTTTCTTTCATTCACTTGCTGCCAAATGAATAACGAGACAAAGCTTGAGGCGATAACAATTTATAAGCAAATGATCGCGATTACCAGAGGATATTAACTAGCGTCTTGACATGAAAATCGCCTCTGAAGACTGATTAGTTTGGATCAGATAGGCTACCAACTTGTAGAACGTGTAAAATCTCGCCCCGGCTCTTTTATGGGTCCAAAGCCGCTTCGTCAGAAACAAGAAAAGAAATCCAAAAGCTTCCATCCGATGTCGGATGATGTATAATGTTATCTCAGCCGGCTTATGTCAAAAATGCTGAGATAAAGATCGGGAACTGGCGGTGTCCGTTACAAGATTCAGCCTACACATGCCCAGAGTGTCGCTTAATTCATGTGAAATTCAACTTGAATCTGTATTATTAACTTATCAGATCATCTTCGAGCTGATATAAATGATTTTAAATATGCATGATGTGGTTTGGGAAAAATTGCCGCTTACGCTACGACAAGTTTCCAGATTGCCGTCGAGATCACAACAGCACCAGCAAAAAATCGAACGAAATTAACACCCTTTGGTATGCTAAACAGCCAATTAAAGAGCAAATTCCCCCTTAAAAATTTCAAAATTTCGTTTTTTTTTTACTTCTAAACATCTGTGCTGGTTGATCTATTTCAGTGCTCTGTGTTAAATTTTACATTGCACAGGTTGCAAAGTTATGATCTTCGGAATTTCACACCTCCTGTGTGAAGCTTTCAGGTCATCCTTGTGTTTTGCCGGTAATTTTCCGGAGCATAAAGTTATGGTTTTATTATGGTTACTTGATTAAAATTGACTCTTCACTTCAAAGATTTACAGAAGACAATGCATGCAAAACATTTGCTATGGCCAAATGTGGATGAATGGAAGCCTGCCGGGGCATTTTTCTGTGTTTATCAATGAGTGAAGACCGTTTAAAGTCACCACAGCACCACACTTAATTACACAGATTTAAGGCACCAGTTTGGTACTTGAAGTGTAAAATTAAATCCGTGTAATATCCATGTAAGTTGATGTTCCCCGGTTTTCGGGAAATATGGCGCATAATTTTCCAGTTTATCTTACATTTGCTTCTGTTATTACAATATAGAAGATTATAGAAGGCCTTATTTTAAGCCAAGTTGGGTTGGGAAAACTTCGTTTTCGAGGGCTTAAAAGTGTCGGATTTTGTATAGTTTTCCGCACACAGCTTTGTAGTTCCTGTGGCGATTTATTTAAAGTTTGGAACAATTTTAGACGGAATTACACGACTTGCTCGTTTTTGACCATTCAGATATATTTATGGTGCGCCACTGCTTCCTGGTGTGCAATTATTTGAAATTCGTGCTCAATTTTCAAACTTTTTTGATTGAAATATAGTTATTTCCTGCGTTAAAATCTTAGGGCCTACAATAGAAAGGAAAACAGATTTTTATCAGTTTTTTTTTGCTCAAAGTTGCTCTTTGACATTTGACAATTGACATTTCACCACGAGCCGCCACTGACAATATAAATATTTACCTTGGGGGTATAACTGCACTGCATTTTCATTGACAAAGAGGTCCATTTTCAGAAACTTGAACAAAAAGATGCTCCAACTGTCTGATTTATGCCGAGTTAACCAACTCGATTTCCACTGCCGCAAGTATGCGCACACAAACTCGTTCATTCGGAAAAATTTACAAACAAGACTGATACTGGCCAAGACCAACTAGTTGCCCATGGTTAAGGAGTGGTATAAAATCATACGCTAACGGAACCGCAGCTCACCAGTAACGATTGGCTCCAATGTTCTGTAGGTGGGGCCTCCCATTTTTAAACAATTTGGCTGCACTATAGGCAGAAGACCACCCGTATTATTACACGAATTTCCGCGCATTTTTTACAGTGAATTACAGAAAATTTACTTCTTGTAGTTGATTCAAACTTGAAAAACTGAATAGATGCTATTCTCTAGAATTGTACGTACTTTCCTGACTGTGTTTCAATTCCAAAATTAAAATCAAATCCTGGGTTCTTCAGTCATTTATTGTTCATTTATCAATTTAAAAAAACGTTTCGGTGTTTTCCACCATCATCAGTTTTAATGTGTAGCGTTGTTGCTACTTTA